GAAGACGACGAGGAGCGTAAACGGAGAGAAAGATATAATCATCAACGTGGACGTACTAATAATGTATGTTATATATATATGTGACATTTATAAAATTGTTATTTAATTTATTTATATTTTTATTGCTATTATTAGAGTAATTATCGACAAAATATTCAGGGAAATAATAACTTCAAACCATCACCTCATTTTAATAATTTCAATAACCACCATCATCGTCATCATCATAATGCTAATAACGATGATGATGATGAAGAATATTTGGATTATAATAATTTAAATAGTAATAACTATAAACCATTCGAGTCAGGTTTTAAAAAAAATTCATTCGATAGAGAAACGATGAATGACGGAGGAACACGTAGTAATTACAGGCCAACTAACAATAGTAATAGCAATTCCTTAAAAAACCATGGTTCTATTACGGACAATTATGCAAGACCACCGCGAAGAAATTCTTTTGGTGCACAGTCTTCAAGGCAGTTGGGATATGATAATATCCACAATAATAATTTCAGAGGAGCTCGAACAGGATATCCTTCGAAATCGAGTAACAATGGGTGGGCATTTAGTCGTGCAAAAAAGAATAATTATTCGGATCAAGAGAATGAAGGAGGAAAATATGAGCATGCTACGGCTCGAAGATACACTGACGCTAGGAAACGCAATTATCAATCTAATACTTTGGAGAATACTAAAGAAAATGTTCAACAAGATCACGCTGTCATTGCTGATTTGAAAAAATCGGGATCCGGTGATAAAGGTACAACTAGAAAAGAATCAAAAAATCCAGAAGCTCATCCGATTGGTAATGGATCTAGCGAAAATCAAAATGATATACCGGAACATCAAGTCAATGGGGTAGAAAACACTGAACAAAATAAGATTTTGGAAAGCCAAAAATGTATTGAAGGATCCGCTTTTGCAGAAGCCGAAGAAGGATCAAATAAAGAAAATCCTTTGTCAAATTCTACTAAAGTCCAAGAAATTATAGAAAAAACTCTTGAAACAGTTTCCGACAAAGAATTTTCAGTTTCTGTAAATAAAGTTAAAATAATTTCTGAATCAATCATAGAAAATAGTAATAGCAGTTCTACCGAAGCACAGGAAATTACCAATGAGAATGCTAATTCTAAGTCCGCCATAACTAAAGAAAAGCCACCTTCTGAATCTTTTAATATTACAAATGGTAATAATTTTTCTTTGGATTCAACACCGAATTCTAAAGAAACTGTTAACGATAATTTTGGTAATGGTTCAAGAAATAATGAGACAGCAGTAGTTGTCGAATCAATTGAAGATTTAAATAACAATACTGCTTTACACATCGTGCAACGTAATGAGATCGAATCTCATATCACCAAGGAAGAAAATCAGTTATACGAATCTTCAGAAGAATCGGATGTTGAAATAATTCTCGAGCATCAAGGCAATGGAATGAGCGCAGAAAACTCTAATAATGGTATTCAAACAGAAGCAATAAAAGTGCGAATAAGTTCACCTTCTAGCGACGAACCAATCGATTTTTCAAATTTGAAGAATGATTCAATTTTCTTAACCCCAAATACTATTATTCCTGCCGAGAAAGAAGATGATGACCTTCAAGAAAAGAATTCTTTGCCACAGTCCCAACAAGCTCCTTCACAATCTTCAAAACGATATTCATCACGTCGAGTAGCTGTTTCTTCCAATGCCCCGCCAAATTCAGACTCTACTAATTCTGGTGAGAATAATAATAATAATAATAATACAACCACGTCACCTTCATCTGGAATTACATCTAAAATGTCATCCAGCGAGTTTTTCGCATCAGGTATAATTTTGTCTTTTTTTAAATTCAAGATTTTATACCGATTATTGATTAAAATCAAATTTTTTCTTGATTCTATTAAAAAAGCGATTCATGCAGCACCTTTTATGCCACGTTCCGCGATGGCTTCTAAAGAGAATGATGACGTGAACGACAATCAAAATGAAAATAATAGTTCCGAATTTGCACAACATGAGACTTGGTCTCCTGAGAACAATGGGCCATTTGCTGTTCACTATTCGCCCCCACTCTACCCTACCGACGAAAACGGGGTTGTATTTTATTACGAGCCTCACATTTATCCGCAATATTATTATTATCATCCAATGGAAGGTAATTATAATTCTGCTGCTTTAGATGCAGCTGCCACAAATTCCACCATCTCCTATCCCCCTGGTTCTCAAATCCCACTACCACCACCACCGTTACCACAACCACCTTCAAAGAACCCCCCAGGCTCATCATCATCATCAACATCCACATCTTTACCAGCTAACAATGGTGGTTATTATACTTATTATCCAGTTTATTATCAATAATTTTTATTAATTCATAGTTTATAATATTTTTCCATCCTAAACATCCACACACTACTTTGTATTGCTTTATACAAGTGGTCACACGATAATACCATCGCGCTAAATTCGCTTTGGTAGGGGCCTTGTTGATTGCGTAGAATCTCAATCAAACGAAAATGAGTTGTGATTTGTAGCAAAGAAATCAATATCCACGCGAAATAATCATATTTATTGAGTTGCGAAAGTTTGTAGGCACAAAGAATGAAGCATTTTATTATTAATAAACTATGTAAAGATTTTAAAATTTACGAATCATAAGAATGGATCAACGTATTTCATTCATGATTTGCTCGGATCCAGACATGAAATGATTGCTTACGCAAAGGTATTGTTCACAATTTCATTGGGATTTCGCGAAGCGTAACCATATTTATGTATATGTAACGATAAATATTTCCCGAGTTTAAATGGTATTATCGATCATCACAAATTGTGTCACTATCAAGTTAGTGATTTCAATATGCATACCCCATTACGTTTATTCTTTACCTTTTTGAGGGGGGAAAAACCCCCACCAGTGATGTTTTGATTTGGAGCATTTTTCATTATGCACCGCATCACATTTGGTAAGACGCAATTTTATAATCGAATAAAAAAGAATTTGATTACGATAAGAACACGATTCTATACAAGCGAACAAATTGCAAAGAAACAGAAACTTGCACAAAAAATTATTGCGGATAAAGATGGACTGGTAACTAAAAAATTATTTCAGAGAATATTCATCCTTGTAAGGACAATAATAAATTTTGATCCCTCTAAATAGCCATTACATCCAACTTGGTCCGTTAAATCACTCTTCGCATTGAAAGACAATCAATCAATATCAATTGTCAACAAGGAGCAAGTAAAGCACCTTTTCCGATTGTGTAACCTACGTGAGCCTAAAAATCCGGAACATCTGGCTACATTTGTCCGCGACATCAATCGATTATGTCATTTTGTAAAGCATATTCAAGAGGTTGATGTAACGGGTGTTCCGCCAATGAGAGGAATTTGGCCAGAGGGCATAAGTGTTAGCCTTAGATCTGATAATGACGATGATGAGGATAAAGATGCAGCAATAAATGGAAGAGCGTTGTTGAAGTGTGCTAAAGTTATTCAAGGCAATTATTATGTTGTTAAAGGTCGTAAAATAGAGTGAATAATTAATAGCAATAATAATAATCAATAATAATAATAATAATAATAATAATAATAATAATAAAGATGATGATGTAAAAATTCTCGCGTGATCAACGGAACGAAACCAATTAGTGACATGTGCACAAAGTATCCCGTTATAGCATGATGAAGATGGTGGTTCATCCAATTTCCCACACATTTGATTATCACAACCAACTTCTTAACAAAACGAGGTGAATTTTGCTACCCAGCGGGCAACTGCTGTTTTTTCAAATTCTTGCAGCAAACACCACCGTCTTAGAAATGTCAACGTGGGAACAAGTACGAAAAGAAGTCCGAGCCTACCGTAGCTCTGCACAACCTACAAACCTATTCTGCATTAAAGATTTCTGTTTTGACCAAAAGAACAACCGCGTCTACTTTTTGGCGACTGACTCGTCACGCGTAAAGACATCGACGTTATACCTGGTTAACCTGAGTGAAATTGATAATGATAATATTGGTAGCAATAGCAGTCGATATGAAACGGGAAAATCGCAACCTTCACCGCCGCCGCCGCAACAACCTTTGGATACTGAAATCCGCTGTTCGAACGCCATTCTGAAAATCAGCGAAGATACCAATCAGACCATTTCCGCTGCTTCCTCCTCCTTTTCTTGCAAGCTTTCATTTGGTTTTAACGAATATCAGGTGAAAAGTGAGTTTTTTGCTTCTTTATTTCTAGTACTAGATTAATTCGATTGATATTATCTTCACCATGGAATGCTTTATAATTCTATTGAAAATTATTATAATTCTATATTTTAACGTTAGCATACATTCATTATAACCTACTTTATTGCATTATATATTTAAGATCATTTGTCCGCACAAACATTAACTGACCATTTGTGTACTTTACATGCGTGCTGTTAAAAGTCTTTAATTCGCAATATACATTTAATGTTATTACACGGGTCGCGTAGATTCGATTAATTTTTTATGTTCAAATCTTAACCACGATAAACTGAATGTTCTCTTCCCTTCTGACCTCATCTCCAGATTAATTCACACTCGCCGTCATCGTCGTCGTCGTCCTCATCATCATCATCATCATCATCAGCATCAAATATGTCGTCATCTTCGTTACTGTCATCAACTATTCCTACAATAGAGTGGAGTCCACTACTTCCAGATTCATGGCTTAAAGAAAAGCCAACCTCGGAAATATTATCTCGAGAAGAGATGTTTGTGAAGGAACGTAAAAGAATGGCATTGCAGGGCATAAATAGTTTTCAGTTTGAACCTAACAGTGGACAGATATTGTTCAGCTATGGCAGTGGGATATACTTAGGACAAGTTACAAAGGTAATAATAATATCTTTGATTCTGTTCGCACACCATTTCTAATTAGAGAATCAACTCTCCTTAGGGAATGGAATTCAATCCGTATCCAATAATACCTTATTCGTGTTGTCCCAATACACCATTACACCATATGTCACATGCTAACTCTACTTCGCCTTCATATTCACCTAGTTCATCTTCCATGCCACCTTCATATTGTTCAACTTCAAATTTTTCTCCTCCTCGTCTTGATCCCAAGCTAGGCGGGCGGAATAACAATTTAATCGCCTTCATACGCGATCGAGATATATGGGTAACTACTCCGGGCGGATCCGAAACACAATTAACATTCTGCAATGAACATGATCCCGATGGTACAGCTGCTTTGAGTTGTGGCGTGGCAGAATTTGTTATGCAGGTAATAGCCAAAATCCAAGTGAATTGCATTTCCAACGCCTTCATGACGAATCATATTTAATAAAAATATCATTTTACTATATTTTATTAATATTTATTTTTATTAAGGAAGAATTCCACCGATTCACTGGTTATTACTGGGCTCCATCATCATCATCCTCTAATAATCATAGAAAAGATGATGTCGAACGAATATTATATATACAATTATCCGAATCAATGGTGGATTTGGTGTTAATTCCACGACCAGGACCACATGGCGAAGTGGATGAATATCGCTATCCTAGAACTGGTAAGAAATACGTATGTTGGGGGAAAATAAGTTAAAAGCATGGCTCAATAAGGAGGGAAATCTTAGATATTTATTTTTTATTATAGGCACCGCAAACGCTCAGTGTATTTTACAAATAGTAGAATTCATTCCGCAGCATGAAGATGAGGAAGTAGTCATCTGCGGACCAATTCATAAACGTTTGTGGGGATCTTTTGCGCTTAAGAAACTATTTCCATGGATGGAATATATTGTTCGTTTTGGATGGTTTCCTAGTGGAAATAGGTTTATTCATAATTTAATCTATAATTTTATTATTGTTATTGTTTTTTATATATATATATAGTGGCTGATTCTTTTCAATCAATGGAAATTTTATTCTCGTGATAAAGTGTTTGGGTGCAGCTCCTTGACCGTCTTCAGCAACGAACAGCTATTGTCAAAATTGCATTGTGTAATTTTATGAGTATTGAAGAATACCAAAAATGCACGCCAGAAATCGAAGAATTGTACCGAGGATTTATCGAAGTCATTTTTGAAGAACGTAATCATATATGGATAAATGTAAGTAATGGAAATAACCATTTGTAATATAAAAAATTATTTTTATGTTCAATAATGAATTAATTCGCCGACAATTTGAGTTTATTCTCATTTGCTACGAATTCTTGGTAAAATAATCTCAGATAACCGAAATTTATTACTTCTTCAACGAAGATGATAATCCATCCTTGAACAGCACCGCCAATGCCACTGCCAACACCAACACCACCAGCACCACCAGCAGCACCAGCAGCACCACTAACATGACGAATAAACATGAATTGCCATTGCCACATCTTAAACCATCACGCACAAAACTCATAATATCATCAGAAAGAACCGGATTCCGTCATCTATATCTTGTGACAAAACCATCGATGCACTCTCCCAGTTATCACGTTCGAGCAATAACATGCGGTGAATGGCCAGTTATCGATCGACCGATTTACGTGGATACACGACGAGAGCTTGTATATTTCATGGCGAAAAAAGACACACCATTGGAAACACATCTATACGTAGCAAGTTTCTCGGAGATGTCGAATCCTAATGAGATAGTACGATTGACTGATTTAGGATATAGTCATGTAATTGTGATGGATGAACATTGCCAGAGATATTTAGACTTGTTTTCCAGTTTGAGCGAAAAACCGAAATGTAGTGTTCGTTATTTAGAATGGGAAAAAGGGGGCGGAATATTTCCTCATGTGAGCCAAAAAAAAGGTGTTTTCATCAAGGGAGGCACTGAGATTGAAGTTTCGGGTGAAAGAGATGATGAAAAGTATAATAATAGCAGCAGTAGTAGAATTGTTAACATTTGTGATCCAACCTCAGGTATAGGAAAATTTTTTGAGTTCCTTAATAAGGATGGTGTGGTTATACATGGATGCATATATCATCCAGATAATTATATACCTGGTAAAAAATATCCAACATTATTGAATATTTACGGCGGACCAAAATCTCAGGTAAAATTTTTTTTTCAACATTGGATCATTTCATGATTTTTATTAATTCATTGGTTAACTTCACTTCTATCATAATATTACATTATATGTAGATGGTAACAAATGATTACAAATTTCCCCGATATCTCCGTCTATTTCTTGCAGCCAAACTCGGCTTCACCGTGGTCCTAATCGACGGACGAGGCTCATCAGATCGTGGCCTACATTTCGAATCATATCTGAAAAATCGCATGGGCTCAGTCGAACTAGAAGATCAAATAGCCGGTCTACAATACTTGGCTGATAGAAATATGGGGGTCGACTTGGATCGAGTCGCCATTACCGGATGGAGCTATGGCGGGTATCTAAGCCTGATGGCACTCGCACAGTATCCTCAAGTCTTCAAAATAGCAATCGCCGGTGCGCCAGTAACACAATGGGAGTTGTACGATACCGCGTACACGGAACGGTATATGGGCTTGCCGTCAGAGAATGTTGAAGGATATCGGAAAGGAAATGTGTTAAATTGGGCTGATAAGTTTCCAGACAGGTAAAGGTTACCATGTTTCTCAACATCCCTATATATTCTTTGAGTCGTTCTCATTCTCGCATACATGTACAGTGAAAACCGGTTATTGATTGTACACGGGCAAATCGATGAGAACGTTCATTTTAAAAATTCCGAGTTACTAGTTTCAGCGTTAGTCAAAAATAACAAGCCGCATGTTCTACAACCTTATCCTACAGAGCGACATGGCTTAAGACATTCGAATGTAGCGGAGCATTTTGAAACATTGATGTTCTTCTGGCTGATAAATTATTTATAGTGTGTACAAAAATAAAGTTTGAATCCAATGTTTTTGTGTATTTTATTTTCTATATAATCTATCCGGCATAATTAAGTTTTTTGCAGGATGCATTAAACTTCAGACAAGCAAAATTCGATTTTGTGCATCATACGTACGTACATTATGCACTCATGTAATTTTAATACAAGGAGACTAATAATGTTATCTACATGCTTGGGTGTCATTCGTGTGAAGTTCCTGCAAAGAAATTCCGCTCGCATATTTGCCGTCCCTTTTTTGCTTGAAAAAAGGGAGCCTTGGCTCAAAGTTTTTTCAACAAAGTTAAGTTTTTCCGTTCTAAACACACGTAATTCATGAATGAATGATTATTGGTCCATCAGGCGATGTCACATTGAGAAAATTCAAGTTTTTGTTATCTAAATAAAATGCAGGAATAAACTTTAACGACAAATGATGCCGGTTTGTAAGATAAATAACCAAATACTAATATTATTCTCATATTGGAAATTAATGTGTGAGAAAATTTTGTTATCTATAACAAGATTAATGTATAGACTATAAATAATCCCGGTAAGTAATAAATTGTGGTAGTTGGACGTAAAAACTAGTGTAACAAAAAAAATTCGCCGAGCAATAATTCTTTGTTCCCCGTTTGTTTACAACATCTCACACTTAAAATGTCGGCTTTCTGAATGGTCAATCGAATTAGATGTGACTAATCAATCGGAATTTGCTTTACTTTCGAATAAGAGGCTTATTCCAATTCTCACATGTTTCACGCGTCTTCGACGTTGAAGCATCGATTTTGGATGTGTTCAATTTACCCAGAGAAATGCAAAGCGCTCAATTTTCTGAAATCATCTGTAAGAATAGAATAATAATACTCGAATCATTAAATTACAGGCATAAATAGAGTCATTATTAGGCAAAAATTGCAACCTTCTACTTCCAACAAGGTGGCGTCCCTCCTGGATACCACCAAATAAAGATATCGCCCTTCAGATCTTTTTCCAACAATCCAAAAATTAATTGATGCCTTGCTATAAATTTCTGTCATCTGTGGATATCTATTTAACATGAATGGGAAGTTCCATCAATAAATCTTGACTTTTAAACGGAATATTTTATTCTTTTTATCTCTTACTTTTCAAGATCTTCGTAAACATCACACAATGCATGCGCCATTTCGCCTGATATTGTCAAATTTTTTGAAGCTGACGAAGTCCACGATGAAGTGTTGTTTGATGACGCGGAAGAATTGATGGAGCATTTTATTGCCAATGTCAATTTATTATAAAATAAGAAACGATATTCTTTGTCCGGTTCAAGTTTTCTGTTTGCAAATAATTAGCAATTAGTAGATAAACTCATTTTAAAAAAAAATTATTATCTAAATTTACCCAATCTTTTTCGAATTTTCTACGTCATTCTCAATTACTTTTGACATTTTGTCCATTTGTGGTGTTAAGTATTCATGTAGTGAATCATGAAACTCGGCATTCTCTATATTCGCAGTACCTTCAATCGAGGTTACCGGTATTAGAAACGCGAGTGTTAACGAATTATGCTTTATTGGTTGGTCAAGAATAATAATCAATAAATAATACTTTTTTATCATTAAAAAATTTCCGATTCCGAAATATTGAAAATTAACTCACATTAAACACAAGAAAATAACATTCCTCGATATCATCTTCCTCGTCCTGCTTATGATCCTCACCATTCCCATTTACCTCTTCCTGCTTAGGATCTTCATCACTCTCATCTTCCTCATCCTGCTTATGATCCTCGTCATTCCCATGCCCATTTTCCCTTTTTTTATTTTTATCAATTTGCTTTTTTAAGAAAATGGTCATCGGGTTGATAATTCTTTGATCTGTTCCTTTAAGCTCTGCAGTGGAATCTGTCAAAAAATTTGATTGCACTGATAATAAAGGTGGTGGTGGTTTTGCAGTAATGTCCTCTGACTTTTCAGGATTAGGAGGTGGTGATGATGACAGTTGATTTGTGATAGTGTTGTTGGTGGTGGTGGTGGTGGTGGTGGTGGTGGTGGTGGTAGCGGTGTCATCTTTTTGTGGCTCTTTTTTAGGTGAGGTGACAGAGAAATAAGAGAGTAAATTTCCACCGGATACAACGCGAGGGAAATTTTTAAAAGGTGAATAGTACTAAAAAAAAAATTAAATATTTAGATTATAGATAATTAAAAATATATAAATGATTTTATGCATACAGATTAACAGAAAATGAAAAAACCTTGTCTGATTCTTTATTCTTTTTTGATTTTTCCGCTTCTTCTTTCCTTTTCTTTTCCCCCTCGTAAAATGCAACTAAATGCCGCCATATTACTCGAACATCAGCGTCCGTTATATCATTACCATTACCAGCATCATCTTTCCCACAGTAAATCAAGTTATCTTTCCACAGAATAAAGATATTTCTCGATATAAAAGTGTAGTCTGTTTCAATCTTCTTTGCAAAAGACGTAATTTCTGATCTCGCTGTTGTTGAAAGAGGTTGGTATTGAACGCCTGTTGACGATGAAATACAGATATTATTACAAGAACAGGTGAACGTATCTCGAACGGATGCCTTTTTCCTTACCATCAATAATTTTAGCCAATTCCTCTTTTTCGAAATCCCATTCAAACACCCACTTCGAAAAAAATTCTTCCAATTTAATTTTTAGCGCTTTTACACCTTCAGTTCGCACGGTATGCTCGAAGGGGCCATTAAAAATCTAAAGAGCAACAAGACGTTCAATGAAAGTGCTGATGATGCAAACATGAATAAAATACGACGCATTTAATATCTTGCATACTCTGTACATTTCATATCCCTTTTCTAACATCCGCCGAATGTTGGAATCATGTAGATTTGCGTCAAGAAATTCAACGCTAGATTTTGGCTTGCCATCTTTATCTTTGGTGGTTCTCTTCATGTGACCTAATTCAATCGACTATCACGAAAATACCATCATATTTAGTTATTCGAAAAAATCTGAGATTTACAAAAGAGGAAATCAATTGAAATTCACCTTACAATATGTATCCAATAGTTAGGTTCGGGTTCATAAAAAGCCAATCGATTTTTCTGGGTATGAACATTTTCACAAGGCTTGTCAGGTGAAAAAACTCTACAAAAAAAAAAGAGATGAAAAATGGCTTAGGAAAACAGAGCGTTTCTCCAATTCTCAAACGTAACCAAGCTCTTATAATGCATTTCAACGTACCTTGAGAAATTTACCAAGCCCTGTGCCAAGCCAATTTGACGCATCTTCACGTCCATGGGGACGGTTGTTCTGGCGACATAATAGATGATTTGGTTTACTTGAGTTTCTTCGGTAGACCCAAAAGAAGGGTTATATATGCAAAAGTATGATAGGCTTGGAGAAGCCGAATTCGGCGAGGCTGAAGCCTGAGTGTTGCTTGTAGAGGAATTAGGAATGGAGGTTTCCATGATTCACTGATACTCAAGTTTTCTCATTTCGTCATGTATTTTGTGGCTAACTGAGACCCACTAGCCACGATGAATCATAATGATAATTTCCCAAGCTGGCGGATTACTACTCTTGCCTGGTTATTCAAAAATTCCCAACCCAACAACTAAGTGTGATCGACTTTTACGAAAAATTATTCGTCAAACCTCAACATGACGTTATATATTTTTTTTTGCACATAATGCAATGCATACGCCATGCGCATGTTGCATGTACAATAGGGATGCATATTTACAGAAGTCTACTAAAAGGCAGAAAGAGTTATCGTTATTCTGTGACACTTTTTTTTTTCGTCACATCTTTTTTCTGTAATGATTGCGACGTACAGATTGTACTGTGTATATCAGTGAGAACGCGTAATCAAGGAGAGGATTAAAGAAACCTAGTGCATATAGAACGTGTACAGATAGGTGGATAGATATATATACATAGATAGATAGATAGATATATATATATACATATATAGATAGATAGATAGTCTGATTATGCTAGCGAAAAAAAAAATTTTGGATTAAAAAAAAAGAAGTTGGAATGGTAACAAACAAAGACGAAATCAATTCTAAAGCTTATGTGACAATCCTAATAAATTTTATTTAAATTCAAAGATGTAGAATGACCGACAAAATTGGTAAACTGTAAAATATAAATTTAGATTTTTGCCCTTGATCAAGTGGTTTGAAAAAGTACTAAAAACGTCCAAAAAGACCGAAATACAAACAGAATCTTTATCTTTTGGGAAAGAAGAAAATGTCCGAGTATATACGTACATGGGCTGTTTGATCTTTGTTTCAATTTACATATCAAGCAGAGACAATATAATCTACAAAGTGCAAAAAATGAAACAAAAACAAGAAGTGTCAATACCTTTGCAACAACCCCCTGTAGAAAATTTCAATCCGCGAATCATGTGTCATGTGGAATAACTTACTAATCCTTATTAAGAGATTGAGTTTACCCATACAAGTACTAAACGGTTTAAATCGATATTCTTTTTTAGACAACTTTTTAACACCTTTTTGCTTCAAGACGAGAACATAACTGTTCTTACTAAACTTTGATTTAAACAAGTCGGTAGGGAGCAAGCAAATCGTTGTTAACGTTGCATTATAAAAGTATTCCCGGCAAAAAGCTATTCAAGATCTGAATCCCAATTCAAGCATGAGATTACTTCAGGAATAAAGAGTAACAAAACTCTTATACACGTATTCTGCAAGCTAATCAGCGTGAACACTTTCTATCATCCGGAACAAACTATCTGAATCCTTCTAAGTTCAATCTTCTCATAATGTAAATTTTTTAAGTATTCTTGTTTCGTTCTTATCTATCATACTACATTGATCTTGATGTCTATCTATCCATCTGATTTTTACCCGTTTATCTTTTACTCGCTCATTCCTTAACTAACAGGGGAAATTCTGCCTTCTGTGCGAACCGTTGCGTATGCAACAACACGGCGATTTTCAAAATCGTATACTATCTTATATTTCATTTAATGATGTGTTTGTAATTATATGCAGGGCATTTGCGAGCTACTGGTTTGACATCTCTATTCGACATTCTCAAACTCAAATGAAATACAATAAAATGCGTGCATTACAGCCGGACCTTCTTATCATTGATGCAGCTTCGAAGTTAATTGACAATGGCGCAAACAAAAACTTAAAACGACTGTATTCTATCGTGGATGCCAAAGAGGGTCACGATCGATATTACGTTGCACTTGTTGGTGACGAGATCCATAGGGGGGGTTTTTTTGATCATCACCGAAAACCAATCCCTTCCCACGCTTCACGAATCATTTGCTCAACCAGAAATTGAAGATCTTCGACAAATCGCGAACGAAAGAGGAATTCAAGCAAGCTGATTTTTTTTTTATGAAGGACAACGCATTATTATCGATTAGATGCAAGTTTCTTATGGCGATAATATGGAAATGCTTGAACATGCTTGCATTTATCCTTCATATGAGACCAAATTACATGTTCGGTGGTTAACGCGCGTGTTTTTTGAAGTAAAATAGGCTGATCTTCATAAGTCGTTATGCCCATTGTTAATCTTTGTCCTGGCAAAGGATATTTTGGAGATAGTGACACACTCATGCATGTACAACAGGCTGAAAGGAAATCTGATATTTATGAGGATGAACAAATATCTGTGACTATAAAGGTTCTCAATGGAATGTTGTATTTGACTGGAGATGTTGAAATATTCTCCAACTTAACAGCTATATGACATAAGTATGACAACCAGTGCAAGAAATCGTTCTGCAGAATGTACGACGTGTACAAGATTTTTTGTTTTTCTGCACAATGGTTTTCTTTTAAAATTTTCAGTTGAGAGTTTCGTACTTTGAATAACAATAAAAAGTCTGCACAATTTAATTTTTGCACAATTGTTATTATTTGTTCCATAAAAAAATTTGAGATTTTACTGCGTCGTATCGTATGCTGAAGTAGCGACACAACATTTAAAAACAATCATGTGAAGCTAAAAAAAGTTAACAAAAAAGTTGAATTGTTCGGTTTTTAAAAGTTATTATTCGAGATAACGATAAATTGCACCAAACCCACTCTCGTTTAGCTTTCAACCCATCCCGTAGTTAGTAAATATTAACACGTGTCTAAGGATAAAATGCACATCTACTTTGTCTAGTCATTATCTATAATATATATTTATATTGTCTCTGTTAATTTACCTCATTCATATATTATTCGGTTTCTACTTCACAGGTAACATTAACATAACAAAAAAGTTCCAAGGTAGCTCGCAACTTGAAAAACTCGTAGTTCACAGATTCAACAATCGAGAACAAGCAAACCCAGGATATCAAAATGGTCTTTTAAAATAAAAAATATACTCTCCTCTTCTTTCTTTGTTTTATTCATTCCTTCGTAAGAGCCGCATCTATCAATCATATATATATATATATATATATATATATTCAATTATGTTGTGAAGGTGTGCATCATAATCTGTATGTTATTTAATGATTCTCTCAAAGCAGCATGCTTGGTCTTTCACTGATAATTCTAAATATGAGAAGATTCGGTGAAACACGCGAGAAATAACGCAAAATTAACTTTTTAACTCCGATTACTTTGTATTCCCCTCCACCCGTAAAACCTTTAGCATCTTCTTCGAGCAAACCAATCGCAGATGCAGAAACTCAAAACATCTATTTTTTTAATATTCACTAGAACGGAACCTGTTTTTTAGTCGATTTAATAAAAAAATTACTTTATTCTGGGATTATTTAAACATAATTCAATTAAAAGTAAAAAATTTCGTTCCTTGTTAGGTTACACGTGACACATGCAAAAATTGGGAATTGTCCATTGTCTGTCTATTAGCGATAGATCGTACTTAAATTCTACCCCCCGAAAAAATTAAAAACGGCAGTTAATCAAAAATAGATCAATCGCTTAGCGATTATAAAGTAGTATAAAGTAAAATAAAGGTGCATCACGATAATTAAATCTTTGCTGTAGTGTTAGTGTTATTTAACATTACTATTATGCTTTCTTTTTGTTAACAGTAAAAAACTCTAAAATACATTTTACATGAAGTTTTCTTTTTTATAAAATGGGAAAATAATAATACTACTACTACTACTACTACTACTACTACTACTGATAATAATAATAATAATAATAATAGTATACCAATAATAATTACGAATAATAATACGAAAGTATTATTAGCATAGCAAAAAATCAATAATAATAGTACAATCAATATATACATCGAAAAATGGGCACGCAAGGTTTTGAATTTTCGACTACGACAATGAACTCCACTATTGCACCACCAACACCAACCACAGCAATACCTAAAAACTCAACGACCGCAACTATTTCTACCTCTTCAACAGCAACCGGATCAGAAATAACGGCTATCACAGCGACATCAGCCGCAACGGATTCAACTTCTAATCCCAATACTCCCATTAATAATAATCACACGAATACCAACAGTACCGCCATAATAACATCAGACACTATAAATTCGACACTCATACTTTCACCCACGACTGCTACAACTACTCCCGTTCAAGCGCCTGCTAGTATTGTAAATAGTAATAATGACAGCAGTAAAATTACAAGCAATAGTAATTCTACCACAACGGACACTCCTGCAAATTCTTCTATTATAGTTGACAGCACTTCTAATAATCCCAATGATATTACTACCACTACTACTACTACTACTAGCACGACCTCTTCTGTGAACAATGCTCCAACAGCAACTACGGCGCCAAATACAGCATGGGGTGGTGGTGTCCCTGCAATTGTGGATTCATATCAAAATTCTACGATATTGGTCCCTCAACTAATGGCATTACCGCAGACTTCATCTGTCGGTGCTGAGGCATCGACAGAAATACAAAGAACAACTCCTGGTGAGCTTGCCACTTTAATAGCACCAAATCAGCAAGATGTAATCGTTATCGCTTCATCTGATGCGAGCACAAATTTAGCTATAACCCCCTCTCAACAAATTTTGCCTTCTTTGCCTCCAGTTTTATCCAATTCACAACAACCCATGCAGATTGTTGAAACGATATCGTTGATTGAAAATCCTGCAACCGAGGTGAATAATCAAAATCCTTCCTCAATAGTTCAAGCTGTGATCACAACGAATGGACAACAAGACGAGGCTATTTCGCAAGAAAATGCAAGCTTAGAACTTAAAATAGCAACCAACAATTATTTGGCAGCTCAACTTTCGCAGGGTAATAATCCGCAATTTGCTCAAGAGATTCAAGATGTTGAGATGACGAATGCTCCAGTTTTACAAGGGCAAACTGCTCAAGTTCAACCTGGGATAATACCAGCTACTACACAGGAGCAAGCTCAACCTGCTGTGCAAGCTGTTACGCAGACGCACGTTGCAGCAGAGATGGTCCAAGCCGTTGCACCAAGTGGGATAGTACAGGAAATCATACAAGCTCAAGTACATCAAGCACAACAGGCTGCTGAACTTGTAGCTCAGCTTGACGAAGAAGTAAAGGCCAGAAAGGCTGCAAAGGCCCAAGTACAGGCAAACATAGCACAAGGAAATAATGATGTTAACTTGGAACAAGTGAACGAGGCAGTGAAGATTGCCGAAGCGAGAAAACTGCGTTGCCAACAAATTGCATCTGACTATCAAACTGCTGCTCTTAACGCTGTATCAACTGTGACTACCGCGCCCGAGACAATACTAGCTACAGCGGCTGCCGTAACTGTCAATCAACCACAGTTAGAAGAACTAATCGACACAAATCCGATAGTAAAAGCAGCTATAATAACAACGAATCAAAATTTAATGAATGCTGTAGCTAGCTCGTCAGTTCCCGTTATGGATAATGGGACGAGTGTTCCACCGTTGACGATATTGGATGCTCATCAACCAAATCTTGTCCAAATATTGACACCTATTGTACCGAATACCGCCAGTCAGATAACGATTGTTAATGTCGACGAGGGTACACGACGAAATTCGATTTCTTCGAATTCTACTCAGGTACGATTGCTTGCTTAATCATATTATCTGCCCTCTTTATATGACGGCTTAGAGTCAATGTGTATTACTACTAGACGATTGACTTGAAAAAAAATATGGGAATAATAGTTTTCGATACACCAAAAATAATTTATTAATCAACAAATTTTATTTTACAAAATATTATTGGGAATCAATCGGTTATTTGCAACAATAACAACAACAACAACAACAACAACAATATCATCATCTGACTACCACTACAACTGCAACAATACATACTATTACCAAATCCCTGTCTACTCGCAATATTAAAAACACATACATATATATTATATGTTTATTTATGTGTGTGTGTGTGCGTGTATATATATATGTGTGTTTGATTATCGTATCTTTTTTTCTTTATATCCATCAATAATTACAAATTTATGAAATTATTGTGAATTAAAAGTCTTCATCTGGTTTAAGTCTATCACCAATGACCGCATCTACTACGCCAAATTTACCTCCAATCAATAATACAAATATAGGGATGCCAACGATATTTAATGTTGGCGGACCAACAACAATGGTGATGAATAATAATAATATATTAGGAGTATCAAATCATATAAAGATCTTCACTGAACCTGCTCCACCTCTACAGTTAGATGTCCAATCGACGCAGCAACAATTGGAACAACAAGCTCAACAAGTTCAGCAGGAGCAACAGGCCCAAATCCAACAGGCTCAGGCTCAAGCACAAGTGCAAATACAGGCCCAGGCTCAGGCCCAAGCTCAAATCCAACAAGCTCAGACTCAAGCTCAAATTCAACAGACTCAACTTCAACATGTCCAAGCCCAAGCTCAAATGCAACAGGCTCAGGCTCAGGCTCAGGCTCAAGCTCAAGCTCAAATTCAACAAGTCCAGACTCAGGCTCAAATTCAACAGGCTCAAATTCAACAGGCTCAAATTCAACAAGCTCAAATTCAACAGGCTCAAATTCAGCAAGCTCAAGCTCAGGTTCATATTCAACTGCAACAACAGGAACTTCAGTTAAAAATACAACAGCAAGAAGTTCAAGAACAACAAAAAATAAAACACGTTGAAACTATGGCTGAAGTATCATCTACGATTCAAACGATCAATAATATTATTCCGTATGAAATAATTGAACAACAACCAACTATTGAATCTCCATCAAAGGCTAACGTAATATCCGAGGATAATTCATCAGGAGGTCCTCGTATAAAACTCGAACATGAACATGCTGCTGATTCTTTAGGTTCTCAATCAATTATATCAGCATCACCACCACCACCACCACAACAGCAGCAGCAGCAGATCCAACAGCAATTAAATTATCAACAACAACAATTAGAGCATCAACAACAACAATTAGAGCAACAACAACAACAATTAGAGCACCAGCAGCAGCAACAATTACACCAGCAGCAGCAACAATTACACCAGCAGCAACAATTACACCAACAACAGCAACAATTGCAACAACAATGTCAGCATCAATTACCACAAACGCAACAGTCTTTACCACCACAGGATCTTCAATTACAATTGCAACAACAACAGCAGCAGCAGCAGCAGCAGCAGCAGCAGCAGCAACATCAACAGCAGCAGCGGCAGCTTCTTGAGCAACAGCAACATCAACAACAACAGCAGCAGCAGCAGCAGCAGCAAGAACAACTTTCACATCCACATTCCCTTCAACACCAACCAAATCGATCACCAGAACAACAACAATTATCATTACCGCAAAGTCGATCTCCTCCAACACAAACATTGCTCGGTGCACATACTTCGAATTCACCCGTTCCATCAATACAAGTGGAATCGTCAAAAAGTGCAGTATCACGACTGTTAATAAATAATTCTGACGAATCAGAACGTCGAAATATGTTATTGAAATTGGCTGAAGTCGATTATAGAGATTGGAGTGACGACTCTCTGCGTGAAGAATTAGAAAAACGCGAAAAACATCCTATAGCTGCTGCCTCTATGGGTGGTAGAAATCGCGATGAACGTTCTGCGAAAGGAAGGTCAACTCAGATGACGACGACGACTAGTGATTCCGAAGGTAGGCGTATAATTTTATTTGGACCGAACATCATGCAGTTGTTATTAATAGTCTTCATTTATTTATTTATCATTGCTTAACTTATGACTACAAAGATGACCAAGAATCGATACCTTCACGTGCTGATTCCATGGAAGATATCAAAATTGAGCCAACTAGTAATCGCGCTGATATTAATAATTTAACTAATAACAATGCTAACGCTAGCAATAACAACAACAATTCTGGAATAAATTCCGCTCTATCTTCCTCATCATCATCATCATCATCACGACAAGATGATGATCAAGATCCAAACAAGCAAGATACAAAAAAGTGTATGTGGAGAAACTGTACAAGGGTTTTCCCGCAATTGGAGCCACTAATACAACATGTGATTGAAATTCATATTGGAAGTGGAAAGGTAGAATTTCTCGTATTTTTGATCTTTCTTTCAATTTATATTCTTTCTCATTGTAATAATAAAATAAGGCGACATATTCGTGCGAATGGGAAGGGTGCACACGGGGCACAAAACCATTTACCAAACGACACAAAATGTACAATCATCTAAGAACACATACCGGTGAAAGACCTTACATGTGTGATACCCCTGGCTGTGGAAAAAGATTTTCCCGACCAGACTCGTTAACCACCCACATAAAAACCCATTCGAACGTACGCCCATACGTGTGTTCATCGAAAGGATGTGGCAAAGCATATTATCATTCTCGATCGTTGAGAAAACACGAGAAAACTCATGATATAAGACCACATCCTCATCCTTTACCCGCTGTTCACCACGCGGTACATCCAATTCCAAATAATGGAATGCATATAAATTTTGCATCACCACAAGGTAGAATGTTTACTTCACCACCGCAACCTGTTCAACAACAACCACCTCCTCCAGCACAACCACAACCTCAACCTGGACCACCCCCGTCATCACATCTTTTCCCACAGAGAGGCTCGATGCAGTATGATAATTCATCAGCAAATGACCCGCGAGATATGAGATCACCTGTTTCGCATACCTCACCCGCACTTCATCGTCATACACAATTGCCATCCGTTCATCATATACAGTCTCCGCCTGCTGGTAATAGTCCATTCAATATTGGTCCACCACCATTATTATCACAAAATCATACACAGCCACAGCCGCCACGGTATCATCCTTATAACCAAAATAACATGCCTCATCGTCCAGAATTAGTGCATAATTGTAATTCATATGATGATAGGTCACCACCCCCACATCATACTCAACAGTCGACATCGTCGACAACCGGCTCATTTTTCACATCAACCCCACCACAACATAATAGACATCACGGAAATAATTAATTCACATTTTTTGGAAGCTTATTGATATGACGAGATGATGATTAACAAACATTATTATTTGCCAGTATTTTGTCCGATTTTGAAACTTTTAAATGAGAAGATGGTTTTAGTTTTTGCCATCTTTTTTTTTGGAACTTTTTTCTTCTAATCTAATCCACAAACATTTTCACTTTTTTAACAATTCAAACCGTTGGTGTTACGGTCAGGTATCGACACAAAAAAAAATCATTATTATTTAGTAAATTGTGATTTTAATTTACAAATACACACTTTCGTCATCACTTTTTTAAAAAAATATAGATAAATAGAGATGGGGTTGGTTTTATACTTTTTTTCGCGAAAAAAGATGAATTATTATATATTTATACATAAATGCACCCAAAATTTTTATAAATGTGCGAAGAAAACAATGGTTTGTGGAGGTGTTTTTTTTTTAATTCCCGGAGATAAATAAATACACTTACTTAATTATATGTCGTACTTTCTTTTGATGATCGTTAAATATTCCCCCCCTTCTTTCTTTACTTTCTTGGAATGAAAAAATTGTACAGTTTATTTCTTTTTGAACTATATTTTACGAGAAATCATCCTCCCAAATTATCTTGTTTTAAAATTTTGATAATTAATATATTTTATTTGCAAGAGATCCTTCCTTATGCGCGGTATCTTCCTCGATTGTTTATTACTTGATCTAATCTTTTATGTGCGAGGAGGGAGGCGGTAGCAGTAGTTGTAGTTAATTTTTGAGGATTCTCTACTTCTTTGTAAATAGTTTCTCTCTTGGTTTCGTTTATTATTAAAGTTATTTTTTTTTAATGTATGACTATGTCATTAATTGATACCGGTTTTTGTAATGGATTTTATATATATATATATATATATATATACATAAACAAAAATAAAAATAAAATATTTGCGCAAAAAAAAGAAATTAACTTGATTTTTTTTTATTACAACCGTTGCCGCCAAATAAAAAAGAAAAATTTGATTACATAACAAATAAAAAAAATACTATTAGGAATCGATTTTTATTCGTCTACTGATTCACACAAACAATAATTTTTTTGTAAAATTGGTGTCTTAGTTCAAAATTTTGTGTGTGTGTGTGTGGTTTAATTATTTTGAACGAAGGAGATGATGAAATTATATACTATTCTGACGTCTTTATGTATTTATATGTAAATGTACTTTCCGCGGGTTTATGAGTAAAAAAAAAAGAGGTTACTATTGTTCTGGTTTGATCAAATCGAGAATGATAAAAAATATTAAACATATAAAAACACAGAAGATTAAGGTAGAAGAAAACGTCTTTTGGGTGTTGACATCAAGAGTATTTAAAATAAAAAAAGTCTCCCACAACAACAAAGAACGATATTTGAACTCACTATACTATTACTACGATCACAACCACAATTATCCACTTTGTGCAGCTTGTTTTAATGCAACCTGTTTTAAACTTCCACATTGTTGTTTATGTCCTTGTTTCCAATTCTTCTTCTGACATTCCTTCGAGCAATAATAGGCATTGGTGCATCCAGCGCAGATTAACAATTTGTGTTTCTTTTCCTCGTTGATTTCCCCGTTCTCGTCTTTGCGCGTTTCACTTCCACAATTAAGACATCTTTTGCCGATTATTCCGCTACCATTTGATCCAGCACCAGTAACACCAGCAGCCGTCGCTAAATTAGGTTGTGGCTGCATCGAAAGTAGCTGCTGCAAAATGGGCGCTAATCGTTCAGCTTCCAATTGAGTGTTTTTTGGTTTCTCATTTTTCGAATCACGCGAAGATTTCGTTTCGAATAACGTGATAGCTGTACGTTTAACTTCTGACATTTCCGGCGCGTGACCATACAAATATTCAAATCGTTTTTCGGCCTCCTTAGCTTTATCGTAGTAATTGTAGGCTTGTTGGGTACGCAAGTTTTGTAGGGATTGCTTACGACTAGATGTTGCGGTTGCAGTGGCATTCTGAATAGTTAGCACGGACAGGGCATAAAGAGCGTTGGCATAACCAATCGAATCCTTATTCGCTTTTTCGATGTAGGATTTGAAGGCACGCACAGCCTCGACTCGATCGTCTTGTTGCATATATATCAAGCCTTGAATACTATATGCGTCAACGAAATTCGGATTGAGCGCAACGAGTCGCTCCAGGTCTTTGATGCATAGTTTGTTGTCGCCGGTTGCGAGGTAACATGATGCTCGAAGTTGAAGAAGACGGGGATGAAGAGACGGTTCGAGTTGGTTGAGCGCAATTGAGAGAGTTTGGATACAGAATTGGAATTGTTTGCCGTTGAATAACAGCCAAATAACCAATATCAGTGACCTTTTTTTTGATTTGTTCGAGTATTAGTATTGGAGAAAAGGGTAAGATTGGATCATATTAAAAAAAACCTACTCTCTAGTAAATTCCGGCTCCAGAGTATCAATCTCCTCCCCTTTTTTTGCCGCTTTTCTTCTCTCTTCCTGTTCTTCTTTAATCTCTTCTTCCAATTCCTCAAAAGTCGACACCTTTTCGTAGTCTTTACTTCTTTCGTTGTCCTCACCACCATATTGCAATTTCAGGAGTTTCTCATACTGTTGCGCGAGCGACATGATCCTCGGCGACATGTCAGTAGCCTTCTCATCCACCAAGAATGCCTCGACGAGATATTTTGTCGCTTCGAAAATGTCACCTTCGTGTTTGCGCAGGATCTCATCTGTAGTTTCGTTGGGTATTTTTGAGGCGAGTTCCAAACCTTGTTGAAATAATTCTTTGGCTTTGAAGTACTGATTTTTTTTTGTTATTGTTTATTGGTTGGTGATGACATTACCAAAAAGTATAAATATTAT